AACCATCCCAAACCGAGTCTGAAAGCCCGCAGCTTTGGACCCAGGGTTTCGGGTTCGGGGCTCCGGATTCCCAAAACCCTAAGCCCTAAGCCCAAAGCCCTAAGCCCTAAACCCTAACGCCTAAACCCTAAGCCCTTCATCATTCAAGGGCCGTCGGCTCTCTGGGACGAGATGCTTTGTGCTGCTCTGGGCTTCGAGCCTTAACAGGGTTCCCTTCAGGGTTCAAAGGGATCCTTAAAGGGTACCTTAAAGGGTTCCTTAAGGGGTCCTATACTTGGAGGTTCATGCGTAGTTATAAGTGGAGTCATAAAGTCCTCTACGATGGGTTAGAAGTATGCCTATACCCTTTCTTACAACTACCCATGAACCTCGAAGTAGGGTTCATAACAGGGTTCCTTCGAAAGCCTAAACCCTAAACCCTAAACTTTCAGGGTTCTTTGCATAGTTTGGGCAGCTGCGGGGCTTGAAGGGATGATGGGGTTCGGGGGCTTTAGTTTCAGTCGGAATAAGTAGTACGCAACACTTGCATCCCCTTAAGTATACGTCGAATAAGTATGTTATAACTATATACTCCAAAGACGCCAAAGCTTAGTCTTATCAGTGTATCAAGGCCCGAACTTTTAAATAGAACCTGTATACACTGTGAACCGGTGAAATCTGAAAGGAACCCTACACCCTCATCGCCAGTCCCTCAACCCCGGACGTATTGTGTTTATTCCGGTACACTACTTGGAGGATCATGGGACTTAGTAAGTAAGGTTATAAGTCCCTTAATTGGGATATAAGTAAATGATATAAACATATAGCTACCTTAATTATAACCCTACTTACTAAGTCCCATGATCCTTTAAGTATCTAGGAGGGGGCTCCTCTGCAGGGCTCGTCTTAAGGCTCCTTTAAAGGTACAATGAGTCAATGAGGGTTCCGTACCGGTTTAGGGTTCAGGGTTTGGGGTTTGGGGTTCACGGTTCAGGTTTGGAGCTGTTCAGGTAGGCAGGCTCTTATGCAGATGCATATCAGTCGCAACTTGTAAGGCTCTTCCTGAGACGTCGGAATGGTATAACACCCTGGCTATGTCGGCGCACACCCAAACTGTGAATTGAAAGCCGCTTGAAAACCCATCAATACCTTCATTCTCTAAACAAGAGCCCCACCAACATCTCGCTAAAACTGTGTGTTTCCCTAAATCCTACACCCTGAACCGAACCCGTACTCCCTAAACCCTAATTACAGGCCACCTGGGCCCTTCCCGACTGCACCACCCAAGCCTGAACCTATGGCCCTGATGACCCACATCCTGGAAGCCCTACGCGCTACTAGGTCCCTCAGTAGTACCCTTTTGCCCTTTTTATTTTAGGGCCCCTTTACTAAAACCGAATAGTAGGAGAAAAGGGTACCCTTATTATAAAGGGGCTACTCAGGAATCAAGGCTAACTCGGCAAGATCCCTAAAGCTTGAACAGCTTCTTCCGAGTCCTTCCAACATTTTCCTAAGATAAGAAACATAGTACCAAGAACAATAGCAGTAAAAATAAAGGCGATAATCGCAGCAGGAGTAAAAGTAATACCAGTAACAATGAAAATACTGTTACTACTCGCAATGATGATAGTCGCAAGAAAAAGATAATGATAGTGTCAATAAGGCTGTTAATAATCATGATACAAATACGTAAAGAATGCCTGTACATAAAACTACCCATACCTTTCCGTGATGAAAATGACAACAAGAAGTTTACAATTTACGGTCCCTTCTTTCTGAAATCCCCAAATTTCCGTGAACCGTAAAGGAGCTCACGCACGAGCGCTTAAGCTTGCAGGTTTAGGGCTTTAGGGTTTTAGGGTTGCAGGGGTTTCGGGTCCAAAAATAAGGGTTTGGGGTCATAGGGCTTTTAGGTGTTATGGTTTCAGGGTTTACGGTTAAATTAAATAGGAGTTCGCGCACTACACCACCTACCCCATGGCTTTGTCGCCTCATTTCGGGCGGGTCCTCTGCAGATTGGCAGCTCGGCAGGCAAGAGCGAGTGGGGTATGCAGGGCCGTCGGGCCCATGGGGCAAAAGTTGAGGTTTAAGGGTTTTTGGGTCCCCATTGTCCTCCTTTTGCACATGTGCTGATCGTCGCAAGGGCTTCCATCAAGATGCTGGGGTTTTCGAAGCTCTGAACCTTACTGAGTCCTAAGCCTCAAAGCCTCCAGGCTCCGAAGTTTTAGAACTTTCTAGAGTTTGGGGCTATGCTGATGCAGGGGTGTGAACATTTACTGGGTGGCTCAAGTTTCGGCTCAAGTTGGGTAGCTGGCAGATAGTGAGTTTGTGGAACGAGGCTTGGGGCTCAGGGCAACCTTTTGTTGTGAAGAGCACCCAAACAGCTTAATCCCAGGCTTTTGCTTCTGCCATTCCGATTTTGTGCCACGACGGAGACAGGTAGCCCACAAGGAGTTGGGCTTCCCGCTCCGGAAAGCCCAAAGAGAGCCGGGCTTCCCTCTCCTGAAAGCCCAGAAGGAGCTGGGCTTCCCGCTCCTTCACCAGAAAGGACAACAGGGCTGGAACTCGTTCCCTGGGAACAGTCCCACTGGCTCCTGCTAGCCAGGTGCACAGAGGAGCTCCACGAGGAGCTCTTGAGGTTCCCGGAGGAAACGCGAGACAGAACGGTCCGGGTATTGGAACAGGTTTGGCGTTTACTCCCTAGTTATTGACTTCGCCAGATTTGGCTCCGATTCCATTTACTGGGCTAAGCCACTCGCCCCGTAGCAGCACAACAATTTGGTCGGGTGAGTTTCTCCCCATCATGCCGTCCGGATGGATCCCCAAGGCCCAGAAGAAGTGGTATCCCCAATGCTGGCACTGTGGACGTGCATGGGGGACCCAAGGCGGCAGCCCGAGTGATAGTGAGGACTGGGACTATGGCTGGGCATGGTCTGCCCAGCCACTCAAGGCTAGGTATGTCAGGCAAGCCCAGCGCGCAGCGGAACACCAAGCAGCTGGGCAGATTTACAAGCCGGTTTTCAGGGCCCTCAACAAGGTATGGGCAGTGATGCCATCAGAGGCCAGGGAGGCTATAAACAAGGCAGGTTTTGAAGCCAAGCCAAGCCCCCCACCTGGCTTGCAGGCGTCTGGTAAGGACGGTGGCAAGCCGGGCAAAGGCAAAGGCAAAGGAAAGGGCTCAGCTGCTGAGCCAGGCTTCACGCAAGATCAGCAGAAAACCCTGCGAGGAATCTTTGAAGGTGCGTCGGAGTCCCAGAAAGCTCTCCTTCAGCTCGCTGGGCTGGAGCCTCCAGAAGACGAAGAGGTTGATCTTGAGGAGCTCTGCCGAAGACACATTGAAGAGCTCCCTCAAGCCATTCAGGAAGCAGTGGCACCACCAGAACCTGACCCCCCATCCCCACAGCAGTTGATCTCGGAAGCCAGCAGGAAGCTTAAGGCTGCGGCGGCTGAGTTGCGTGAGGTCGTGTTTGAAAAAGCTTCCCTGCAGCTGAAGCTCAACAGCACCAAAGACCTGTTTGAGCAGCTTCTCAATGAGATGAAAGATCTAAATGCCAGCATGGCCACGAAGCAGGAGCAGGTCGCTGAGCTCCAAAAGGAATTGGAGCGACAACTGCCAAAAGATGGCGAAAACGAAAAGGTCGAGCTTTCTCCCTTGCCAATGGAAGTCGACGAAGTTTTGGATCATCTTGGCATTGTTTTGAATGAAGAACAGGTCAAGAAGTTGAGCGAGATGCAGACGCGGAAGAGGCCAAGGCTTGAAGCTTCTCAGCAAGGCCCGCAGCAGCAGCAAGGACACCGAGGTGGCACGGAAGGGCAAGGGCCCAGGGCGCTCGATACCCCGGGCAACAGGCCAGAACGTTCCCGCAGCCCTAAAGGGCCTCCAGAAGCGAAGGACTCTTAGGGAGTCGGCCGTAGTGGGTTTAGGCCCCAAGGGGAGAAAGCTTCAGAGGGCCAGGCTCCCGGCCACAGCAGGCAGCAACAGCAGGAGATTACTCCCGTCTCCTTCGAAGAGGCGGGAGCCTTTTCCATCGCAGCGGACGATGATGATGAGGGGCCATGGACAGTTTTTCGTTGCAAGCGCAGGCCTCTTAAGAAGGTCGCACCAGTTTTGAGCTCCTCGGCTGGGATTGGGGAGGTAGATCAGCACTCAGTCCATATGACGTTTGATGCTGAACAGCCCCTCGATGCCGGCGAGGACGGTTTTGGTACGAAGCCGAGAAGCACTGGGAAAGGCAAGGGCGTTCAGACTAGACGCCCCAGTTTTGGTAGGAAGCCTCCTTCCAGCAGCAATGGAGGTGACAATTCTCAAGGTTCGGGCTCTCGGTACTTCCCCTTGGATTTTGCTGAGGACAAGGTGAAAAGGCGCAGAGTCCGATCCAAACACAACCACAGGCCTAGCATGTCGCACGAGGATGTGGTTTGGAGAAACTCCCGCACCAGGCTCAAGCTGTGGAAGCGACTCAGGGAAGTTTTGATTCATCACCTTTGCATCCCTGAGGCAGAAGAGCCACTCCTCATCTCCCTGGCAGAATTCGCCGAAGTCAAGGACAATGAGGATGGCTTAGAAGGCTGGACTGCATTCCAGCTCCTGAATAAAGTTAGTGAGAATGCCACCAGTGGGTTCGAGATTCTCACCCAGGCAGTAGAGGATATTATTGTCAATTTGAGCAGCAAAAGCTCAAGAGCAATCAAAATCAGATCATCTAACATCACACAATGGAGGCCTGAAATTCAGAAGTGGTTGCAGGCCCAAAATGAAGATGTGATTCTGGTTCAGGAGACACATTTGACAAAGCCAGGTGTTGCAGCTGCGGTTGCAGCCATGCACAAGGTTGGGTACGAAATGATTGGCGGGGAAGCTGCTTCCTCTGCCAAGAAAGGTACACATGGGGGTGTTGCTGTGTTTTCGAAAACCCACCTCAGGGCCAAGACTGCTCAACACTTCACAGAAGAAGGGTGTGGGTTCTGTGCAGTTGAGGTTAGGATTAAGGGAGTGAGCCTTCTCCTCCTAAGTCTTTACCTTAAGAATTCCACCCCGATCCAATGCCAGCCCAACGCAGAGATTCTTGGTCGTCTTGTCTCTTTGCTTAGAACGCATACTGGGCAATGGCTTGTAGCTGGTGACTTTAATGTCACCCCTCAAGAAATTGCGGCGACCAACCTGCTAAGTGAAATGAGAGGCCAGATTGTGAATGTTGGCGAGCCCACTACTCAAGGAGGTAATGAGCTCGATTTTATCATCACGAGCAATGCCATTGCTGGGCTCGCCTCTGTGTGCCTTGATTGGAGTGCCCCGCACCGCCCACATGCCAGCCTATGCATCAATCTTAGGGTACCTGGCCCCTCAGATTCTGCGCTCCGACTACCCGATTTTTCGGTGAAGGATGCTGCTGAAGGATGTGCCTTATGTTGGCCCAGGCCTGAACCGGTTGATATCTCAGTAGTTGGTCAGCAGTTTTCAGAGGATGAGGCCACCAGAGAATTTGGGGTCTTGTCCAGGTGGTGCCAGCTAGCCATGTACCCAGGCGAAAAACAAGCCAGAGGAGGTTCTCTTGAATTCAGCAGAAGACCGATCGTGCCAGGGCAACCGGATCGCCCATACTCCACCCACCGGCCTCTGGCTGCGAGTGGAGTCCTGGCTCAATGCCACAGCCAAGGCAGGTGTGAAGGTCGCACAAAAAGCCCTGGCTGGAGTGACAACCCAGCTACAGTTTGGAGCAGTGTCCCAAGAGGAAGCCGAAAGTTGGAGGGCTGAGATTCTCGCCCTGCTCACAGGTTCCACCAAGGTCTCTCAGGAGCAAGAGGACCAGATAAGAGGATTTATCAAGATCGCCCAAGTGGAACATTTGGCACAGGACAAGCAAAGGTACCAGGATTGGATTGAAGGAGCAATGGTCAAAAGCATGCGTCCCCTTTACAAGGCCATCAGGTCCCACGAGCAGGTCCTGGTGCGGCCCTTTCGCAATAAAGAGGCAGCCTTGCGGCCCTACCTTAGGCACCAACAATGGCAACAAATCTGGAAGAGTCAAGATTCTCCAGTGGAAGCAGTTGTGCCTGAGCTTCTCGGCAGAGCTGTTACTGAAGCTTCCATGTTACCAGCCATCACCAGCAGCCAGCTGCAAACAAGACTTCACTGTCTGCCTGAAAAAGCACCAGGAGTCGATGGATGGAACAACCGGATGTTGAAGCAGCTTCCCCACAGCGCGTTAGAGCCTCTTGCACAATTCTTGAACCACATGGAATCCACTGGCAAGGCTCCCGGCCAATGGCGTGTGGTTAAGTTCGCAATGCTGGCCAAGAATAGTGCCATTGAAAGACCAATAGGATTTGTGTAACGTGGTGTATAGAACGTGGCTCCAAACGCGATTCCCGTTGATCCAATCCTGGCTCAAGGACTATGAGTTGGTAGCTCCGTGGGACTCGGCAGTCCCAGGAGTCACTTGTCTTTCAGTATCCACTGCCCGTGTGTTCAAGTGTGAAGTTGCGGTGGCTACGGGGCGCCACAGAGCAACCCTTTACCTCGACCTTAGCACATTCTATGAGACACTGTCCCACGCCAAGCTCATAGAATCAGCTAAGGCACTGGCCTTCCCAGCCAGTGTCCTGAATATAGCAATCCAGATATATCGCGGTGGTCGAATCATGGAAGCCGAAGGTACCATGAGTCCAGTGTCTTTTACGGATAGAGGAGTAATAGCTGGATGTCCAGCTGCTCCAGCACTATCCAAACTCGCGTTATACCGCCCACTCAAGATTGTCCAAGACACCGGCCTCACGGCCGGGTTAGACTCGTGGATAGATGACGTGACTATCGACGCAGAGGCCAAAGATGCGCAACGAGTCGCGCAAAAGATTGTTGCACTATATCGCACGGTTAGCGCAGAGCTTGGTAATGCAGAACTGCAGATCAGCACTTCGAAATCTGCGTTCGTTTGCACTGACAGGCAGACACAGCATAGGGTGCAGCAGCTTCTGCGCACCGGGGAACCACCGGTTCTACACCTTGTGAAAGACTTAGGCGTGGATTCTGCAGGGGCACGCAGGCGACGAGTGGCAACCAGCAATGCCAGGATTGCCAAAGCCACAGGTCGCAGCAACAAGCTGTCAAAGCTCAAGATCCCTAATCAGAAGAAGCGTGCAGCAACGGGTGTTTTCACTGCTGCCACCTTTGGACGCCAAGGGCAAGGGATCTCACCCAAGCGCATGAAAATGCTCAGAGCAATTGCTGGTGGCCATTATGGGAAGCTGTCCTTTGGTTCCCTGGACCTGGTCTTCGACCTATCCTGGGTAGGGTCAGGAGACCCTTTATGCAAATTGTCCTGGAACATTGGGCTATGTTGCAGGAGTGTGTTGCTAGGAATCTCCCTGCGGCTAGCCTGATCAAACGCACGTGGGCGGTGTCGTGGAAAAAACTTGCCCGCAGCCCGCAGCGCTGGACTGCTGCGTCAGGTCCAACTGGTGCCATGCAATGCTATCTAATGGACATGGGTTTTGACGCCCCCACCATGGATGTATGGAAGCGCGAAGGCGGAGACATTGCTCTGGAATGGGGCTCTCCACGTGTTGGCGCAGATGTAAGAACGCTTTTGCAAAAGGCCATGCATGCCGATAGATGGGAGCGCATTGCCCTCCAGGAAAGCGCCAAAGGAGCTGAGCACGGCATTGACTGGACTGTGCCCCGCAAGCTGCTTAAAGAAACAGCGAAGCAGCCTCTTGTGCAGTCAGGGCTGAGAATGCTGTTTCAGGGAGCGGTGCGGCGTGCCAACCATGGAGGTGATTGTTATTGTCCCCGTTGCGGGCAGAGCAACTCTCTCCAACATGGTTTGCATGAGTGCATCAGATGAGCAGAAGTGGACATAGGCCCTGACCCTGCATGGAGGGACCTCTACCCTTCAGCCCCTGAGTGCTTCCGTGTACGTGGGTTGGTCCCCAAACCAGCCACCATGCACCCTCCGCTAACTAGTGCCCAAATGGAGATTAAGAAAACTGGCATTTTTGCAGGTGAGTTCCTCCCTGACAGTCACATTTACTTCGGCACGGACGCTTCAGGAGGACCCCGAGGAGACGACCCTCGTTTGAGAGTCGTTTCTTGGGCGGTCGTCGCTCTTCGTTGGCAGCCAGGAGCGCGGCAGGAAGAATACTCCAAGCTTGGAATTATGACTGGGTCCCTGCAAGTCGGAGCAACAGTGAATGATGGAGAATCTGTCGCTCTGGACCAGCTAGCCAGTTGGATTCAGGGACCTGCTAACGTCGCTGTTGACAGCAAGATTGCCATCAGAAGAGTCAGGGTCGCGAACATCGAAGTCAAGATGCCAGAGATTTGGTCCACTCCCAAAGAGAAAAGGGATCTACTTCAGGTCACGTGGACAAAAGGCCACTTGTCCAGTGAGCAACATCAGCAAAGATTTGGGCCGGCCCAGGCCTGGGCGTGGGCTGCCAACCTGGAAGCCGACAAAGAATGCAGCAACAAGAGTCAAGCGGTTTTCTCCTTTACCCAGGCAGCCAAAACTGACGCCATCGATATGGTTGCCAGAGCCAAGTGCCGATGGCTGAGCAGGAGGTGCTGCCAACGATCCGGTACCTCGCGTCAAGGACCTCAAGTTTGAAGCGACGCCTGTGAGCCACAAACACGTGCGAAAGCAAGGCCCCAACAAGAGACAGTTGCTCTTGGCGGCTACGGAAGAGGCCAACCCGATCACAGGGCACAAGTGGGTCGTATCTTCTAAAGCCAAACACCTGTGCATCAAATGCGAGGTCTGCACCTTGTATGCACAGCAGACTGACCCGGGCCCAGTTGTGGACTTTGTTTTGCAGCACCCATGTAAGCACAGGCCGGCTGAACCAGCGCCTTCAGCCAACATTCATTCTTCACATTGCGTTATCAATCTTGGGCACCTGTGGAGCTGCTCCAGGAGCAAGGCGAGCTATTCAGTCAGGGCGCCAGCTAAAGGGAGATTAGCCACCCAATGCAAAGGCAGCCCGGGGAAAAGGCAACACATACAGACCGAAGGCATGGTTTCCGCCTCTTCAGGTTTTGCTGCTTTGTTTTCCAAGGAAAGGTCTAAGGGAGGTGGCAATGCAGGTCCAGCCTCCTGTTCTACTAGTGGCTCTACTGAGGGTGAAGGTGTTCCTAGCTTGGTCCCCACTGTTGGTCAGGTGAATTTTGTTCAAGGGGCTCGAGGTTCTCAGCCTGTTGCAGCCCCCTCTAATCAGGACCTCCCGGAAAACGGCAGGTGTGCAGATTTGTGTCACAAGGACATCCCTCAAGGTTCATGCAGTGAACATGTCAGTTCCCAGATGCTTGAAGCAGGTGAATCTTGTGATGCACTTCCCTCCGTCGCAGCGGCTCGAGCTCCTCAGCCAAAAATTAAAGCCGCTAAAGAGAGTAAGTCCTCTTCCAGCATGCAAAAGCCTAAGCCCAAGCCCAAAGTGATTGCAAAGAATTCGCCTGGCACTCAGAGTGTTCTTCACTTCTGTAAGCCTAAGCCAAAAGAGTGAAGCTTCACATGTGTCAGGGTTTGCTGCTGTAGTTGCCATGGGCGGGGAAAAAGGTTCGGGCAAAAGCAAAGGCAGCAAAGGCAAAAGCAAAAGCAAACGCACAGAGGAAGAGATAAGGCATGCCAGGGAGATTAATATGCAACGAGAAGGAGAGGACCTCCCTCGAAAAAGCACTGGCAGCGTGGCACGAGCAAAAGCTCGCTCCGCTGCCTTCCATTGAAGCAGCCTCCATAGGGCAGCCCAATGTAAAGCCATCGCCGCCCCCTCCACCTCCATCGAGGAGGAGGGAGGGTGCCAATGTTGCCCTGGCTGCCGGGCAGAGCATCCGTCTTGTGGAAAGGGGTGAGGTTCTCCCCCAACAGCACAATATTCCAATGGAGGAGGAAAGTACAGTGAAGCTTAGAAAAAGAGGAGAGGCTCTCCCTCCCGAAACACAGGACCAGAGAAACACGGAGTCCCGCAGAAACAAACAAAGTCCTGTAAGGCAGAACGAGCCTAGCCAGGCAAGTAACAGGCCCCAGCCAGAGGCCAAAGCAGAGGACGCTGTGCTTGAGCAGCCGTTCCAGGAGCCGCTGCCTGCAGAGTTCCAGTCCTCTGAGGAGACCTGCGAGCCAAGCCCTGGTGCCAACCAGGCTCAGTCCAGCAACACGGGAAAGCTGCTAGAAGTCAAGCACCCTGGCCGCCTGCGCATCCCTGTTAGTATGGGACATTGCGGCATTCCTGGTCCTGAGCCAATGCTTGGAGCTGGGAGAGAGTAGCGCTCTCCCAAGCTTTCCGCTAAGGAGTTTGTCACGGCCTTGCGGTTCATGCGAGGCACGTATGCACAGCATGTGGAGTACAGCTTGAGCTTCACCAGCTCACCCCTCACATGCAGTCAGCGGCGCACATGGGCAGGCGTGCTAGCAGCAGACACTCGGGTTTCGGCCTCCGACACCCGCACCCGTGAGGGGGCTGTGGATGCCACGCCCAGTCCTCAAGGATGGAGCCATGGTTGTTACATCACTGCCCAACATATGACCTGGAGATGAGCTTCTCTCTCCAAATGATAAGAAAGAAAAAGGGCAGTTAAAGGACAACAGAGGCCAACTGGGGGGCAGTTTCCAAACAGGGTGAGCTCCTCCCCTGAGAAAGTGCACCTTCTGGGTATACCTCGCCAGGCCTTTGCAAAGGCACTCCTAGCCAAAGTCCTAAGTTGGCGATTCCCTCCAGGCCATTCCTGAGGAGAGAGCTTCTCTCTCCTTTTCTGTGCAGAGGCCTGGATGGAAAGACAGTTTTAACCCGTGCTTCCTCGAAAGAAGAGCTGTGCAACCAGGGAGAGCTACTCCCCTTTTGTAGCTAGTTCTTTCTCCTTTTAGGGCACACGGGTTTTCTCTGTGCTGAGGTCCTCGCACAGCCCGAATGCCACTATGTTTCACCCACCCGTCGAGCTCTGCTCCGGAAGGGCCAAATGGCCGCGGACCCAGCGCCGCCCGAAGGAACATTTACGGCGCTGTCTCTTAAGGTTTTAGGGTTCGTTATTGTAAGTATACTGTAGTAACCCTAAAACCCTTTTCTCATGATTGCGAGCTGGTGTATTCGCTCCCACATCACCGAAATGTAGAATTTCGAGGAGGAGACTGCCAGGAACTGGCAGCCGGGGGCAGGGGGGGGGGGCCACCTTTGAGCGGAACGCATCCGCAATCCTCGGCAGCCGAAGGTGAGCGACAAAGCGGTGCTGGCCATGGAAGCCACGAGGGGAAGCACGAGCCTGCAGAGTGTTTTGTGGCCGAGAAGGAGGCGCAAAGCAAAACCCGAAACCCTAAACC